CACTACTCACACACACACACATACACACACACACACACACACATATATATATATATATATACATACATACATATATACCTACACACATATATACGTATACACATATAGATACATGCTTACATACATACCTTAATATGTTTTTCTATATTGATGCATGCAAATATCAGGTCTTTATTTGTTTCTGTTGCACTTTTACTGGTGCCTCAGCTCATTCGTACACTTATCCGTAAACTTTCATCGTGGTACTCTGTAGGTGAAATCCGCTGGAACGGGGGATTGCCTACCACAGTCACAGGTGAGTTAAATATTTTCCTTCTCCTGTCAAACTCAATTAGCAGTTAATAGTTTTCCTTCTCCCGTGGTCAAGTTCAAGTAGGTTTTGTTCATTTTTCCGGTTGAGATCGTGTTCGTTCTGTTGAAAGTGCGATGCTTCAGGATATGATTATTGCACGAATATGTAGCTAACGAATTTAAAAATGAGCCAATCTGGCATACACTTCCCGAAAGTTTGCTCTCCTGTTCATCTCCCGATCCGTGGTTGTAGACGCGCGGCATTCAGTAGTTTTCAGGTTTAGTTGCTGTAAAGTCGTGTTCATGAACATTTTTACGTAGTTGGTCGCTCTACTGGGCCACAGTCCGTTGTTCGAATCATTTCGGAATGTCACGGGTTGTAGATTGTTTATCCACGCTTTAAATGTTGGTAGCTTTGCGTGCTTCCGGATGACTGTAGTCGATGCGAATGCACCTATTTACAATATATTTGGGCAAGTGATTGTGAGTGCCTGATGCCACTTAACGCATGTGCCCGCGAGTATTGGGGGGGTTTTTTTTTTGGTAAATTCAGGGGCTGTTGGCGTATTCGGTCTTTCGAACAGTAATGTATGTTAGGTTAACAGGCCGACGATGAGCTCACGCCTGTGCATAACTCCGAAACGTGAAAGCTGCATGGGACATTATCAAACTCACTGACATGACATAATAGTTGCCTGTCTCTCTCATACACTCCGCAAAATTAAACAATTTCAATTACTTATACGCCTGTTCAATGCTTGCAGTGTGCGACAGGTTGTTTACGCGCGCGTCAGTCAGCGTTGGAGAAAATCGGCAGCGCATGTGCGAATGGTCAGTTGGACATGCACAAATCAATGGCCACGATATTACGGACATGCGAGGAAGTGAACGCAGACAACCCTGCTGTGTGCACACTTCAATTACAAAAGTATTTGACATGCGCAACGGAGGCTGTTAAAGTAGAGAGTTAAAGTATATATGGAAAATTACTAGCCATGATACAGATGGAATCATGGTTATATGGGCGGTTATAGCAGGAATTCTCCATTATAGGATACTGAAGAGTATGTGCAACATCCATTCGAGTTGCTAAAACGCGCAACCAAAGCTAAAGGCGGGATATAAATGCTAATGAAAAAAAAACTTTTTTTTTTACCACATCGCTTTGCCTGCTATACGTAATCGAAATTTTTCACTGGCTTTGATCGTCCGAAACAAATGCTATGGAGTGTATGTTATAGATACAAGAAGTCCTTTCCGAGGCAGAGATAGTATTACATGGATATTTAGTCTGGTACTATTTTTTGACACTTGTTATATTCAATATTCACTTGGGAGGAACATACCATACAATCGCTTGAATGGCAGAAGGCTACTGTAGACGACTCTAGAGCATGAGAATGCCATGCTCAAGTAGAGCTACAAAAGTAACTTGATTTCACTGTAGGTTTTTATAGCAGTTTAATAAAACACTATTCCCGAATGGCAGTATGGGAACAAATTATAACGATACGTGTGATATACCTGATACTCCAGCTGACAACGCCGCCGACCTGGCAATTAAGATATAAAGGTACACAATCAGCTTATCAGCGGGAAATTATACAGATGTCTGTACATATTGGTTCTATATGGAATTGTGCAAGAACCTGCAGTGTGCACAACGCACCAAGGGTTTTTACTAGTGTGCGTGAATTACAGGCATAAGACCTATTGAACTAGTGTGCGTGAATTACAGGTATAAAACCTATTGAACTAGTGTGCGCCAAGCGCAAACGCCGAGTTGTATACATACGTAATTGGCAGCACAACGTCGATAAGCACTAGTGCATGCGGGAGTACAAGAATACATACCTGATGAATTGATTGTAAATACATAGAAGCTACGGCAATCAAGAGGAATACACACTTAAAAAAACAAACAAAAGGTCATACAAATAAATATTTGCTATTGGTCGAGGGTTTTGGTTTTGTCTAATTAGAAGGCGAGGGTGGGCCCCCCTGAAAAAAGAACAAAGAAGAATTTAGGAAGCTATGGGTGGGCCCAGGCCCCCAGGGCCCCAGGCTCAGGCCCAGGGCCCAGGAGGCAAGTACGTAAAATCGGGATATTTCATAGCCTTCTAAATAGACATTTCAAGTCAAGTACATAGTTGTCAAAAGTACGTATGTATAGTATTATCCGTATGATCGACACGAGACTAATAAGTATCCTCAATAGTAAACGTGTTCGTGTGTATTACAACGCATCTTCTGAAGCAATAATAGTGTCACAAGTATAGTATCCCACATAAAACATAGCCAAGGTCAATAAGTCTCTGCTCACTATCCCAATACTACACGACAATTTATCGTTTATTCTCGGAAGTTAATACGTTTTTAAAAGAAGTTGTCATTGCAACATGGGGTCGCTGCTGCAATCCCTGCCATCTTTCAACAAGAAGAATTTCTCCGCCTATGACAAAGGTCACAGCAGGGTAGAGGTATGATTACAGGCCTTGAATCTTGGTCCGCTTCGAATTACGAAACTTGGTTGTCATAAGCAGCTACTGCAGGCACATACTTAAATATTAGCATGTGTGTTCATTACTACTGTGCTATGTCATATTTATGTATACAGTTGTCTAGTCTGCATATAGTCATTGCTATTGAGTTCATATTCAATAAGCTCTATAATCGATTTCAGATTCGGGTGCTTGCATTGTAGCGTCTTGTCACTTAAGTTGGTGTAAAAAATTACGAGTATCGCGTACGCTTCTATTCTGCACATCTTTCATATCAAGGACTGTACATTCTTCAAAGTTTCTATACCTCACGACAGTGTGCATTTATATCATATGGCCTTTAGTATAAAGCATACTGCAGAGTAGCTAACAGACAATCCACAATGCCATTGAAGCAATATGTTGGCACAGATGGTACACATCCCTCCCCCCCCCCTTATATAATGCGTATGCGTGCTTCGGATGCGAGAGGCAGGTTGTCTAAATGTATTTCGTAGACTAATTTGTTTCAGTTTAACATTTTTGCTTATACATATTTGTGTATTATTATCAAGTATGGAAACTCATACGAAACTTAAAATCGTACATATATATCTTCACACGTGATAAATAATTTCTATTATCGGGGTTTTTGTGTATATATGTACATATTTGTGAATTCTTACCTATTCAAATAGTCGATATATGTACCTTTGCGCGTTTATGAGTGGCCGTTACAAGCACATTTATAGTCACATACATGCGGATACGTACATATAGGTATACTTTATATACACATACTCGTGCACGAGATATGTGGTCTCGTATGTATTTATTTACACGTACATGGAATGTGGATACGTAGATAAACTTCAATACTCCTTTACTGATCTCACATTCATTTCATGTTTATTCATACTTATACTCGTAAGTATATACCAGTAGTATCTTTCAAGTTCACATATTGCGAAGGGAACGTACACACTGTGTATCACATACTTTGTTTGCATCGTGATTTACTATGCAATGGGTTGATCCCCTCAAGTGCTATGAATAGGCACGACCAGTTGTACAACTTTATTTCTATGTACAATTTCACCATCAGATATGTTCTGGGCGCCAGCACCACTTTCTGTGCCCGTGACTCAACATGTTTGTAAGAGTGTTACTATGTTAAATGCGTTTGCATTCTACCATCATTATTTCACAGTGCAAAAAGGCAAAGACGTATGTACCGCTGTGTGACACTTCGCCGCAGGAAGGGCAGATCATTCACTCGGACCCAACTAACCTGCTATTAAAGAAGCTGAATACGCAGTTCCAGATGACGGTAAGCGAATTAATGAGTGATTCAAATTGTATATCGAGTGCGTACATGTTTACGGTCACATCTGAACTAAACGTTGGTGTGAGTGAAGGACAGTCTATGATGCATGCTGGATGTGCTCGTGCATTTGGGCCATGGACGCAGGTTGAATGCGAAGCATATGCAGATATTCGTGGTGACCTGCGGGTCTCTAGCGCATCGTGCATATGCACTTAGTTGCTCAAGATTCAGGGTAGTCAGAACCAGCTTCTCGGCTGCATCTGCATCTACTGTTAGTTAGGTTGGTAGTCAGATATGCTCACAAACAAGAGAGTGTCTTCATTGCAACACCTATGCGTTTGTATTCATGTGTTTGGCGCGTGACGTGTAAGCCTTCTTCGTGTAGTTTGTTTCCTGTGATTTATAGCCAAACACCGGAGCATAATCGTAGACTGGGACGAGCACGGGAGTGAATTACTGCAATGCGGCAATAGAGTACCAGGGCTCCTTTTATTATCATACATGGACTGGTTGTAAGGTAGCTTAGCAAGTGCAATCTTTTGTGAATTCACGAGCCTGCTGTTGGAAGATAGAATCCAAGTGTATGTGCTCGTTTCATCGAACGAAACTCAATTCTGGCGACACTTGCATTCACAACCACAACGCAGAGTCTAGTGTCATCAGAAGAAGATTCCAGGAAAAGGAATCTGCAGAGCGCACAGTTAGACTCGGGCGAAGGGTCGTCCGGCACGAAACATACCAGGGTGGAGTGAAGCGGGTATGCGAGGATACCTATAGACAAAGTGACGCCTGGAGAATAGGCACCGGCATGTGCTACGCCGATGAACGCCTCGGTTGGCTGATCTCATACGTTATATTATGCAACGTGTGTGTGTGCACTTCATTACGGCATATTGCGCGATTTGACTGATCACGTGGGTCATAGTGGAATAGGGTTAAAGGACACGGACTCCACCCAGCTGCTTGAGTGCCGCCAGATGTTGTTATGTAGCGGGCATCCAGTATGCTGTCGTAGCTAACGTATCGTTGTTGGATTTTGCTTCGCTAGCCTGCGACTATGCAGAAGCGACTCAGCTGCATACCCTCATATATGGGATATCTGCGGAGTGCCTGGCCTGGATTCCGTTTAAGGCAGTTTGGAGCTTATTTCATTTCCCACAATTATCCTAATCGTCAGGAGAGATATGGCGTCTGGAGATTGGGATCATGCTATCGGAGGGGGCCTCCACCGCTACTGGTTGTGGTGTGTCAATGAACCGAGATGCGTGCACCATTCATCGCCTGTAGATGATATGGATGCATGTGTTTACTCAAATCAAGAAAATGAAAAAGGTCTGGTCATGAGCCGGCGTGTAGGATGTAGATTTGAGTGAATGGCGTTACAGATATTTCGGTGTGTGTAAGGGTATCTCGGTCAGTGACTTTCGATTGGTTAGTGACTTTCGATTGGCCAGTGACTTTCGGTTCATACAGAGGCATACGCTCGACAGTATTGCTGACAGCGGGAGCGCTATAGTTGGATGCGTTTAAACACTACAAATGTCCGTTGAATCTGGAGGTTGCATAAGGGAATCCTTTGATACGCAATAGCGCCGATTTCAAGGACTGTACTCGCTTGCGGAAAAGACCCACTTGTTGGCAGGCGGCCCTGCAGTCTATCCCTTATTAATGTGCACCACTGAAAATTGTAGAATCCTGCACACGCGCACATACATTGGGTGTTTATTGGCACAGAGGTGTAGATGAGGAAACGCGCTAAAATGCACTTGCCATATATCGACACAACAAAATAGTTTACAGCGACAGATGCCGGATGTTCACAGTACTATGCGACAACACCCTGCGCCTTGACCACTGATAGCTTTTAGCTTAAAACCAGACGGCGGCTGACAGCAATATACAGTATTGCGCTGTGGCTTTCCGTTAATATTACTGGCTGTACGTTACGCATGAACTAAACGAAAGGGTTATTTATCGTAACTATTTTTACGTCTTCACTTTACACGCTTTCACCTTAGATGTCATCGGTACTCAGTACACTGATGCAAGTGCGTATCTGTGTCATCACCTGCCTGCACGGATCAATACGCTCTTCGTCAATAGTGCCATGCCATTTAACTAAATAGACAGGCTACATTGCCTGCATTGATATAGTATTTAATCTCGTGTGGGACTGTGGTGTGGTATATAGTGTACGGCAGGTGTATGCTGACCCATTCCAAGACTTTCGTGTGGGACTGTGGTGTGGTATACCGTGTACGGCAGGTGCATAATGACCCATCCCAAGACTTTCGTGTGGGACTGTGGTGTGGTATATAGTGTACGACAGGTGCATAATGATCCATCCCAAGACTTTCGTGTGGGACTGTGGTGTGGTATATAGTGTACGACAGGTGCATAATGATCCATCCCAAGACTTTCGTGTGGGACTGTAGTGTGGTATAATGTGTACGGCAGGTGCATAAT